CAGTCAGGGTGAACAGTAGGACATGAGGCTAAGGATCAAGACCACCTCTACCCTCAATCATCACACTGCCTCTCTGTGGAGTCTGGGAGAGCCCAGCAGCCGGCCTCACCCTGTCTCATCTCCCCCCGTCCCCCCCAACAGAACAGGGCCTTGTTCTGTTGCACGGGCTGGAGTGCAGTGGTGCAATCTCTGCTCACTGCAACCTAGACCCCTGGGCTCAAGGAATTCTGCTGTCTCAGTCTCCAGAATAGCTGGGATTATAGGCACCCACCACCATGCATAGATAATTTTCGTATTTTTAGTAGAGATGGGGTTTTGCCACGTTGGCCGGGCTGGTCTTGAACTGACCTCAGGTGATCCACCTGCCGTGGCCTCCCAAAGCAGTGGGATTACAGGTGTGAGTCACCATGCCCAGGCCCTTTTACATGACTCACAGTGGTTTCGGGAAAAGTAACAACTCAGATCTGTGATTGACTACTCTGACACGTCAGTTGTGCCTCACTGTCACAGGTGAGTTTAAACTGCTTGGTGTGGTACATGTGGCTTCAGAGAATGCTGTCTGTGACCTCCAAGACCCGCCTGTACCCAGTGTGCAGCACACAGACTGGGTGGGAACATCCCACCCACTGCTCTAGTTAGGCAGCCCCCACTTCTCCAGAGGTGAGGAAAGGGATGCAGAGTTCATCCACGCCTAAACTGACCACGCGTAGCATCTCCTGGGCCACGTGCCAGGTCCCCTCCTTGCTCCTAGTGGTGACGTGTGCCTGTGAGGCCTTATTCTGCTGCCATCATTTTGCAACCGCAGAGGCCAGGCCCAAAAGGAACCAGCACAGAGAAGCCCAGGAAAGCCCAGGAAAAGGCAGAGAAAACTCCCACCTGTGTCAGTTTTCGGCTCACAAAGCCCCTTTGGTGAAGCCATTTGAGCTGAGGTTTCTGCGCTTGCATCCACAAGCATCCACAAGCATGCCTTCCTGCCTAAAGCCTGCCCAACTCTGCAGGACAGCCCCTGGCTGCACGAGTGTCTGCCCTGCTGGCTGCTTTCCCAGCCTCTGCCTCTGCCTGCTCCCTCTACCACCTCACTCCGCACTGTCTCACTCAGCATGATCAGCCCCGGGTCATCCTACTGCCTTCAGAAGTCTCCTCCAAAGCACCTCTGACCTCCACCAGCCAGGTAGAATTGTCTGCTTTTTTCCTTTATGCTTCATATAGCCTGATTATTTTTCAATCATACTTTTTTTTGGAGACAGGGTCTTGCTTTGTTGCCCAGGCTGCAATCAGTGCAGTGGCACAATCTCAGCTCACTGTAGCCTTGAACCCTGGGCTCCAGCAAACTTCTCACCTCAGCCACCAAACAACTGGGACTACAGGCACGTACCACCTTGCCTGGCTTCACTTATATTTCTTATCACATTTATTACAATGATTTGCTTACATGTCTATGTGTCCTACCAGCTACATGAGGAAATGAGACCTGACCTCGGCACAGGGCCTGGCACACAGAAAGGACTCACTGAAAGAATACCCTGACGTGGCACAGGAGGAGGACTATGACACACAAATCCAGGTCACGAGCTTCACATCAAAGACACTGATGTATCTGTCACACCATTCTAATTAATGAGATCCTAAAATTAAATGGTACACTAAGGCTGGGCCTGGTGGCACACACTTATAATCCCAGCACTTTGGGAGCCCAAGGCAGGAGGATCGCTTGAGCCCAGGAGTTTGAGACCAGCCTGAGCAACATAGTTAGATATCAATGCTATGAAAAAAAAAAAAAAAAAAAAGTAAAAATTAGCCAGGTGTGGTGGCGCATGCCTGTCCCAGCTACTCAGGAGGCTGAGGTGGGTGGTTCACTTGAGCCCAGGAGTTCGAGGCTGCAGTGAGCTATGGCCACACTATTGCACTCCAACCTGGAGGACAGAGCAAGACAGCCTCTAAAAAAAAAAAAGAAATAAAAGGTATACTTGAAAGCTGATAACTCACGGCAATACCATCCACATACTATATTATAAGCACATTAATGTGCAAGCTATATTTAAAAATGCTAAATTGTATTTTATTAAAAAGGAGGACAGACAAGAAGACAATATTGATATTAGTTATACTAATGGCCAAAGCCTTTCTGTTGAGCATCCTACCACATCTTACTTAACTGAGTTTTGGAAGGTAAGGTCTAACGTGTCAAGGTCATCTTCCTTTCCTTTGAAGCCTCAGAAGTGATGGCCATGGGGTGTCTGTTGCCTGTGACCAGCAGTGGACAGCAGTGGCCATGCATGGCAAGAGGCCAGTGGAAAAGAAGGCCAGGCTGCCTCCTCTTTGGAAAGGGAAGATTTCCACCCCCGCCTGCCCCCAACCATGGCCCACCCTGCTCCTCTCAGAGGAGAAAGGGCTGTCACAAGGTAATCACCAAACACAGCCTTTTCCTCCGCTTTTTGTTTCTGTCTCTGACTGGAATGGCAAGAAAAAACAAGACAGCAGAGGGGACAGGGAGATGCCTAGTACCTGGCCGACAGCAATTCTCAAAGCAGCTACAGCTCTTCATAGGAGACTGTCATGGGTGTCAGCAGGGAAAGAAAAAAAGCAAAAAACAAGGCCCCTCATGTTTCTGTTTCCTTCTTTGGAAAATCCTCAATTTCTATCCAAGTTCTAAATGAACGAGAATCTGCCTTCTCAGACTCTGTGAGTTTATGGGGAAAAGGTGTAAACCTCAATTTCACACTGAGATACTGACATGTATTTCCCAATTGTTTCTTATATCCCTGCTCTTTAGGAGATTAAAATTTCCTTTCTACCACAACCACATCTTTCACTTTTCTTCCAAGTCAAAGAAAAGCTTTTGACACTCAGGAAAAAATTCCAAGAGAAACAAGGCTCTACTGAAGGAGTGAGGGAGGGGAGCCCTGGTTAACAGTGAACTTAGTGAGTGTGTTCTTTAAATTTTGCTGTAATTGTGTATTTTGACAAAAATGACTATTAGGGTCCTACTATCTAGCTATTTTAATAAAATGCTCCATTTTTCTTCTGAATAAAAAGCAGCACAAACGTATAAAGTATAGTGATAACAGTCATGTACTCACTACTCAATAAACGAGAATTTATCATCATCTTTGCATTTGGTTATCAGACTTTACAAATGCATTAATGACTTCAACTGTATATTTTTTGTATCTTCAAAGTTTCATGGTCTGAAGCTTAAGATCAAAACAAAGAGATGACTACTGACCTACCTGTGGCCATGTTACCCTAATCATACATGAAGCTCACGTCTAGATTAAAAGCTCGCACTCTGGGCACAGGCTCATTATTGATCTTCTTCACAGCTATATCCCAGCATGTAGCACAGTGTCTCACACAGTAGGTGCTCCATGAATGCAGAATGAATGAATGAGTGAATGAGTGAACAAAGGGAGAAACAAGCAGACGACTTTCAGGCCCAAATTTCTCACCGTGATTATCAAGATGTGGCCTGAGGCAAACCATAACCAGTGTGGGCTTATTTCCATGTGGTGACAATACAAGGGCTTGACTTCCTAAATTGGGAGGTCCCTTCCAGCACCCACACCCTGCATGTTAACATTAGGAGGAATTAGGGGAAGAATATAAGGAAACTGAACTGAGAGGACTATTAACAGACTATGTAGCACCTCTCAGACGAATGAGGAAAAATAAAAATTACTCTACAGAATGAAGATGGGTAAAAGATATGAATAGGGCACGGCATGGTGCTCACGCCTGTAATCCCAGCACTTTAGAAGGCTGAGGCGGGTGGATCACTTGAGGCCAGGAGTTCAAGACCAGCCTGGCCAACATGGTGAAACCCCATCTGTACTAAAAAAAATGTTAGCCAGTGTGGTGGCAGGTGCCTGTAGTCTGACCTACTCAGGAGGCTGAGGTGGGAGAATCACTTGAATCCGCAGGTGGAGGTTGCAGTGAGCTGAGATGGCACCACTGCACTCCAGCCTGGACGACAGAGGGAGACTCCATCTCTAAAAAAAAAAAAAAGATGTTTTCAATAGCAAAATATGAAAAACAATTCAAAGGTACCTCAATGAAAGAAGGAATGGATCCCAGTATCTTTCCACAATGGAGCATCAGAGGGCAGTGAAAAGGAAAGAACCACAGCTATGTGCATCGGCTGAAGAAACTCCAACATATTGAGTGAAAAAGGTGTCACAGAAGCATATATATAGTAAGAAACAATTTTTATAGTTTAAGAATCAGTAAAACTCAAGACTGTCATGTTTACAAATAATGGTTATGGCAAAATCTTAAGAAGGGCAAAGAATTAATGACTTCAACTTGACTCTGGGTGCTCAGAGGGCAAAGGGCTGTGAGAGTCAGAGGCATTTCCAGATACCCTGGGTATATGTTAATTTCAGCTGTGCACATCTATGCTGGTTATAGGAAACACTGTACATTTTATTTTATGGTTAATGTTGAAAGGTAGGAAAAACACAAAAGGCAAATAGGCAAAACCCCCCAAATTTTCTGGCTACAGTTTCAGACCCTAAATGAGTCTAAATAATGGGCCTTTGTGAAGTTTTTAACCCTTAAAAAAAGGGGAAGAAATCTGAAGGGAACAACTGGGCAGGGTCAGATTTGCTTCCGAGGTGCTGTTCTGAAAACATTTGTGATTTGCCCATATCCACAGGTCCAAAGCTGGGAAGCTGTAGTGAGGGGGTGTTATTTCCTACCATGAACAAAGCTCTCTAAAAAACTCAAATTCCGTGGGTTGCACCAGTCCTGACTTTTCTAAGAACCCTTGATATTCTCAGAAGAAAGCTACTGATCTTGCCCAAGTGGCTCTTGCTCCCTCTTGAGCCTTTTACATAGCATCTGCCTCCATCCTGTGTTTTGGTTATTGATCATTACAACTTATGGTGATTTAGCGCCTGCTTGGACTGCTCCACGATTTTTAAGGAAATTCAACTAAAGGTCCAAAATAGTCGTGTAAAAACACACCATCAGCTGTCCAGAAAGAGAGCTCACTCACTCACCAGCTGAAACTCGCTCCTCCGGCTGAAAGCCTCCCTGATGCCAGAATCCCTCCAGAGCGCGCTCAAGGCTGGGACATACAGCTGGAAGGTGGCAGGCTCCACGGGCAGCCCCGCCTTGTTCTCGAAGGCCATCAGGAACATCCCATGCTTCTCATTTTCAGAATACTGCCAAGGAATGCCAAGTTTATCTCGTGCATCGACAAGAACCCTGGAGCCCTAGAAAATAAAAGAGGATTTAATTGTGTTCCAAATACTAAACCACAGCAGAAAACCTCAAAATGGGCATCAATAACTCACAAGCTAGCCAATGTGCAGCCAGAGTTTGTCTCTTGGTTTGTTTGTTTTGTTGTGAAATGCCTTAACTCCTAGGAACATAGCATCACCAAGACAGATAACATGGCTGAAGGCAGTGGCTCACACTGTGATCCCAACACTTTGGGAGGCCAAGGAGGGAGGACTGATTGAGCATAGGAATTTGAGACCAGCCTGGGCAACAGAGCAAGACCCTGCCTCTATGAAAAAAAAAAATTAAATTAAAAACTTAGCTGGACGTGGTTGTGGCTTACCTGTAGTCCCAGCTACTCGGGAGGCTGTGTGGGAAGGCTGAGTGCGGAGGATTGCTTGAGCCCAGGTGGTCAACACTACAGTCATCTATGAGTGCAGCTCTCTCTCTCTCTATACACACACACACACACACACACACACACACACACACACACATTTTGAGACAGAGTTTCATTCTTATTGCCCAGGCTGGAGTACAATGGCGAGATCTTGGCTCCACTACCAACTCCACTACCCAGGTTTAAGCAATTCTCCTGTCTGAGCCTCCTGAATAGCTGGAATTACAGGCATGAACCACCACACCTGGCTAATTTTGTACTTTTAGTAGAGATGGGGTTTCTCCTTGTTGGTCAGGCTGGTCTCAAACTCCTGACCTCAGGTGATCTGCCTGCCTCAGCCTCCCAAAGTGTTGGAATGACAGGCATGAGCCACCATGTCTGGCCTTTGCAGCTCTATATTCTAGCTTGGGCAACAGAGCAAGACCCTGTCTCAAAAAAAAAACAAAAACAAAAAAAAAAACAGAAAGAAAAAAAAGAAAACAGATGTACATAAGCACCATAGAAAGAAGTCTGCCTTTTACTATCACTCATTTGCAAAGTTACTGGAAAAGAGACAATTAAGGGAGGAGGTGGTGGCAACAAATTCAGAAAATTTCACTGGACAATGAAGTATATCAGTAGAAAACCAACTTTTTTTTTTTTGAGATGGAGTTTCACTCTTGTCACCCAGGCTGGAGTGTAATGGCGTCATCTTGACTCACCACAACCTCTGCCTCCTGGGTTTAAGTGATTCTCCTGCCTCAGCCTCCCAAGTAGTGGGGATTATAGGTACCTGGCACCATGCCTGGCTAATTTTTGTCTTTTTAGCTGAGATTACAAGCACCTACCACCATGCACAGCTAAGTTTTGTATTTTTAGTACAGATGGGGTTTCACCATGTGGTTCAGGCTGGTCTCGAACTCCTGACCTCAGCTGATCCACCTGCCTCAGCCTCACCCCAAAAAAACCAACACTTTAACAACAACCCTTTATCTGGGGCATAGGTTCCAAGACCCTCAGTGGATGTCAAAACCTTGAATGGTACCAAACCTATCTGTATTGTTTTTAAAGTCTAATTTATAAATTAGGCACAGTAATAGATTAACAATAGCTAAAAATAAAATACAACAATTATAACAATATACTGTCATGAAAATTATGTAAATGTGGCCTCTCCTTCTCTCTCAAATGTGGTACTACTGTCCTCACGTATTTTCAGTTGGCGGCTGCTGAGGATGAGGGGGATTACTGTACTGCTTTGAGTCCTACCCATGCTACACTGCCATCATCACCAAAATCTGGCAGCTCCTCTATTCCAGAAGATACAACTGCTTCTTCCAGCTTTTTTTTTTTTTTTTTTTTTTTGAGACAAGAGTCTCACTCCATCACCAGGCACCAGGCTGGAGTGCAGTGGCGTGACCTCGGCTCACTACAACCTCCACCTCCCGGGTTCAAGCAATTCTCCTGCCTCAGCTTTCCGAGTAGCTGGGACTACAGGCACGCGCCACCACACCAAGCTAATTTTTTTGTATTTTCAGTAGAGACGAGGTTTCACCATGTTGGCCAGGATGTTCTCGATCTCTTGACCTCATGATCTGCCGGCTTCGGCCTCCTAAAGTGCTGGGATTACAGGCGTGTGCCACTGCGCCCAGCCTTCTTCCAGTTTTAAACGGGTGGGAAAACATACAAATCCAGGCAGTCGGCAGTCACGAGACAGGAAAAGACTAAAATATGACAAGGCAAGTAGCCCACCCGCTGAAACGGGAGCCAGAGGATCATGTTCTAGTTTTAACACCACCATTGTTTGTGATGATGAGAAACCACTTTTCATTCTTTTGCTCATTTCCTCATTGTTAAAAATAAAGTTAATATTTTTCTTCCCTTTCTTACCTCACCTACAGGGTCAAGGGGATGAAGAAATAACCTAAACTAAAATAGTATGAGGGAATGCAGCCAGCCTTTGGAAAATACTGTCTCAGCTAAAACAGCCCCCACGAGCAGTCAGGAGGTCTATTTTACCATTCTTAGACTAAAGCTTTGAAATCAGCGAGGCAGTGTCTATGAGAACTTCTGCATTCTTCTGAGGGGCACGCTGCATACTTCCTTGCATGGTCCACACTGGGGTGTGTGCAGAGTGGTCAAGGATCCCGAGAAGGCGACCAAAGAAAAGGCATGTCTGTCCATCTGGAAAAGGCTTCTCGTCTCACAGCAATCTGGGGAACTCAGGCCAGCTGAGAGCAGCACCCTGTCCTCCAATACAGAGAGCACCAGGGTCAACTGCCCACAAGGCACTTACCTATGTTTTTCTTTTTTTTGGAGACAGGGTCTTGCTCTGTCACCCATGCTGGAGTACAGTGGCATGAACATGGCTCACTGCAATCTGGACCTCCTGGGCTCAAGTGATCCTTGCATCTCAGCCTCTCAAGGAGCTGGGACCACAGGCATGCCTCACTATGCCCGGCTAGTTTTTAAATTTGTGTAGAGTCAGGGTCTCACTGTGTTGCCCAGGCTGGTCTCAAACTCCTGGACTCAAGTGATCCTCTGGCCTTAGCCTTCCAAAGCACTAGGAATTACAGGTGTAAGACACTGCATGCAGCCTTTTTTTTTTTTTCCTTTAAAGTAACAGTTTTACTGTACTATAATCCATGTATCATAGAACTCATCGATTTAAAGTACACAACTCACTTATCCTAAAAAGCTTCATTTCTAACTTTTAGTTGGCACTCATCCTAAAAAGCTTCATTTCTAAGGGCAGAGTAGATGAATCCATTCTGCCTCCATCAACTCTCTGCTGCAGCATCAATTTGGTGCCTGTAGCTTCCGCTTCTGCCTTGAACCACTGAATCGGTGCAATGATGACCAAAGAGTAGTTAAACCTCTCCCCTCCAGACCCAGCTGACCAGGACGGTCTGGTTAGAGTTGTTATCAAAATTTCTGCCTCAGGACTTCGTCTGTCTGCCACTGGAGACCGTGCCTAATTCTACCAATTCACAAATATCTGTCCAATGTTTATTTATGGCAAAACACTGGACCAGGCACTGTGGGGGAAACAAACTTTAAGAAGCAGTATCTGATACCCAGAAACTCAGTCTGGCTAGAAAGACAAATATGTGGATTAAAAAATACCACCTACTCATGAGTTAAAAAAAAAAAACCTCAGCAAACTAGGAATAGAGAAATTCTTCAACTTGATAAAGAACACTGACAAAAGTCATACAGCTAATCTCATAATTAATGGTGAAAGACTGAATGCTTTCTCTCCAACACTAGGAAAAGACAAAGATGCCTACTTCCGCCACTCTAACATGGTACTGGAAGTTCTAGCCAGTGTGATAAGGTAGGAAAATGAAATAAAAGATCATACAGCTTAGGAAAAGTAGGGGGGGAATAAAAAGATATTACAGATCAGACAGAAAAAAAAAAGGAAAATGCGCAACTACACCTATTTGCGGATAAAAAGATGATCTATGTAGAAAATCCCAAAGTAATCTACCAAAAAAACCTCCTAGAATAAACAAATGGATCCAGCATGGTTATAGAATATAAAGTCAACACTCAAAATTCAATTGTCTTCCTATACGTCAACAATGAACATGTGGAAAGTGAAATAAAAATGCAATATCATTAACAATCACTAAAAAAATGAAATAGGTATAAATCTAACAAAATATGTATAGGACTGTGTGCTGAAAAACACAAAATGTTGATGAAAGAAATTTTAAAAATCTAATAGATATACCATGGTCACGAATTGGAAGATTCAACACAGTAGCAATATCCTTACATTGACAAACAGGGTTAGCACAATTTCCATAAAATCCCAGCCAGATCTTTTATAGATATAAATATGTTTATTCCAAAATTTATATGAAAAAGCACTGAATTAGCCAAAGCCAGTCGGAAAAAGAAAAGTGGGAACAATCAGTCTATCTAATGTTAAGACTTACTATATCGCTATGATAATCAAGACTGGGGTGGTACTGGTGAGGTGACAGACACACAGATCAATGGAACATAACAGAGAACCCAGGGATAGCCCCTGATATAGTTAGCTGACTTCTGTAAAGCTGCAAAAGCAATTAAGAGGAAAACTGCTCTTCAACAAATACTATTGGAGGAACTGAACTTCCATAGGCAAAGAAAATCAGGAAAAAAAATAAATAAGAAAGAAAAAAGAACCTTGACCTAAACCTCACAGCTTATACAAAATCAAATCAAAATGTAAAGCTATAACATAGGAGAATATGTTCAGGATGTAGGGTGTGGTCAAAGTTCTCAGACGTGACTCCAAATGCATGATTCATAAGAGAAAAATATCAATAAACTGAACTTTATCAAAACTAAAATCTTTTGCTCTGCCAAAGACCCTCTTAAGAGGCTGAAAGGAAGCTATAAACTGGGAGAAAATACTTGCCAACCTCACATTTGCCATATCTGACAAAAGACTCATTTAGAATATATAAAGAACATTCAAAACTCAACAGTTAGGCCAGGTGCAGTGGCTCACACCTGTAATCCTAACACTTTGGGAGGCTAAGGGGAGAGGATCACTTGGGGCTGGAAGCTCGAGACCATCCTGGGCAACATAGTGAGACCTCATCTCTAATAAAAAAT